TCAGCAGGATTGTTGGGGATTTTTTGAGACCTTTGAGTGCAACAACATACTTTAGGCTATTGTCTGCCATTGTGTACTTGTAGTTCCCAGTACCTTAGTGAAATTTCTATGTCAAAGTGAAATTTGTCATTATTTATCTAATACCATTTTTATTTTGCCTGGATTTTTATTTAGGGGTTAAATCTCATAATAATTTACAGCTGTAAAGCATATAATGTCTTTGTGTAGGGCCAGATATTTGTGGATCAACCAAGAAAGTCCACGTTATTTTAAATTACAAGAATAAATCCCATCCAATCAAGAAACCAATCAGATGCAAGGTAAACACACATTTCAAAGATCCATAAACCTTTAAAATAAACAGTCACGGGGATATTAGGAAGAAAAGCAAACAAAAACCCCAAACCCCAAACAACTATTCCAAATGTGTAACACCTTTGAGAGGTTCTACTTTTCATTGTATCCTAAAAGTCATGTTAATTTTGTGACTTCAGGTATTTCTTAGTTCATATGTTTGAATTATTTTATTTTCCCTCTCTAGAACACTTTAGGAATTAAGTATTCTTATTAATACTGCTTATGAAAAAGCTATTAGAAATTAGTATTATAATTCTGGTGTGAGGCAGTTCCTAAGAGAGAGTTTTAAGCCTTTTAAAAAATTGTACTTCCTTTCTGTAAAATACAGGTTGATGGATATACACATCTCTACACCTTGATTATAAGGCCAGATCAGACTTATGAAGTAAAAATTGATAATGAAATGGTTGCATCTGGCAACTTAGAAGATTATTTTGACTTCTTGCCACTGAGGAAAATGAATGATCCAAGTGTGAGGAAACCCACTGACTGGGATAATCAAGTCCAAATTGATGATCCAAATGACAAGGTAATTTGCTCTCCTTATTCTGCATGACTAGATTATTTAATTTCTTCTGAGTACATGTTTGATAGAGTTGAACTCTGCACTAGTTTTGCATTCTTAACCTTCCTGTGTCTTTAAAGGATTGGGATGAACCTGCACACACCATGGACACTAGTGCTGAGAATCCTGGAGACTGGCATGATGCTGTGAATGGAGAATGGCTTTATCCTGTGGCCAAGAATCCTCAATACAGAGTAGAAATAATCTTGTAATCCTAGTCATGGATAACACTTCAAACAACCTTTCTTCATCTAACTGTTCTGAACACTTGGTTTATCCCAGGGGGAATGGAAACCAAGGCAGATTGACAGCCCAAATTCCAGAGGAGTTTGGCCTCATCCACAGATTGACAATCCAAATTACTCGCCCGACTTGAGTGTCTGCAGCTATGAAAATATTGGCATCATTGGACTGGATATCTGGCAGGTGAGATGATTTACTGGAAAATAAAGCACTTTTCTCTCAGTAAGTGTATGGCAACCTGATTACCCTTTGCATGTAAGCATCTGTTGTTTTGGGATCTTAGGGGCCTTAATTTAAAAATCTGTAGGACACACTGATCTTCTGTTGCAGTTATTGTTTGGATGATAATTACCTACAGGTATGTGAGGGGCTGAAACTAATTTGTGTGAGTAATAAGACACTGGCCCAGGTTGCCCAGGGAAGCTGTGGCTGCCTCATCCCTGGCAGTGTTGAAGGGCAGGTTGGATGGGGCTTGGAGCAACCTGGGCTGGTGGGAGGTGTCCCTGCCCATGCAGGGGGTTGGGACTGGATGATCTTTAAGATCCCTTTCAACCCAAACCAGACTATGATTTACTCCACCTGACCTGAGGTGATCAACTGAGCCTTCCAGCACCTGAGTTACTCCTGATTTACCCAATGATTAATGAGAAAACTGTCTGCTGAGGTACCTCTGAGACCTTCCTCTGTCTCGGGTTTCTCGGCTAGTCAGTGATGAGACTTAAATAATTTCCCTGCTCTTTAGGAAGTTTAAGTTGAAGTTATTTAGATTCTTGAAAACTGTTGTCCAAAACAAGAGAAATCTTCCATGAAATTCTGCAAAAATCTGCAAAAATCTTAAATTGTTTAAGAAAATAATACATCAAAACTCCTAAGGAAACAAAGAGGCATCCTTGGGTTTTTTCCTTCTTCCTTCCAAGGTTCGAGCTGGCACAATCTTTGACAACTTCTTGATAACAGATGATGAGGTTTATGCAGAAGACTTTGGAGATGAAACATGGGGAGAAACAAAGGTAATGTGAAATCCTTGTGTCTGTATTGGTTCTTTATGACCACATTTTAAAAATCCCCTGTATAATCTGACCAAGAACCTGCTGGTTCATAAAAATGAAATCTTAACATCTTAGGATCCTGAAAAGGAAATGAACATAAAGCAGATTGAGGAAGAGCAGGAGAGAGAAAGGGCTACAGAAGAAAAATACTTTGAGCAACAGCTTAAGAAAAAAGTAGGGAGAAAAAAAGAATCTGGAAAGGGTAGAGCATTGAGGAGCCCTGTTGAGAAGGAAGAGCTGTAATTGTGGAAATAAGTTCAGTTTTTTCACTTTAATCTCTATTATAGGGAGATTTTTATAGTTTATCTGTTGGAATGTGCAGTGACAAAGTTGTGTTAAAACAGGAATATTGTTAAACTCAGCATTACATTTTGTGACTGGTTTGTTTTTAATAAAAATGCTTTAACAGTTAAATACTCTATAGAAAAGGGGGTTTTTTTTAAACTATTTTAACACTGCTAAAATGTTTTTAAACCTAGTGTTTATTACAAGTGGGTTTGGAACCATTTTACACTTTCATGGTTTAATCATAACTGTAAATTCAGGCTCATTTTTGTTGAGGAATTCCTTAATAGGCTTTTCATGGCATTTCATTAAAGGGTTTGGCAGGTCAGATGCACGGAGCATGTTTCACAACACACTTCAAACTAAGGAGGAGATAAGCTTTGCTAAGCTCCTCTAGTCGTTGTGCACCTGTCAGGGTTTGCTGGATTAGTGCAGCTCCTTGAATACACCAGGGGAAGGTTCTAGATTTCAGGCTGGGACCTGAGTGGCAGTCTGTTCATCCACAGATCTGTCATTAGAAGTTTAAATGACAGAATGTCAGGGGTTGGAAGGGACCTCTGGAGATCAGAGAGTCCAGCCCCCCTCCCTGCCAGAGCAGCAACCACCACAGAATCTAGGGCAGGTTGTGCATAAACTCATCCAGGTCTTGAAGTCTCCAAAGAAGCCTCCACAGCCTCTCTGTGCACCCTGTCCCAGGGCTCTGTCACCCTCACAGGAAAGTTCTTCACGTCGAGGTGGAACTTCTGTGCTTGTTTGCATCCACAGTTTTGCTCCAGCTGTTGTGTCTCCATGTTGCAGTCAATTTGAGCGAGAGATGTATCTTTAGTGGAGGCCAGTTCTCCACAGCTGGTCATCCAGATAAAATGTCAATCAGTGCCTTGACTCACTTACCTGAAGAGAATCCCAGGGCGCAGCTGCTTTTCCCCAGCCCTGCTCTGTCCCCCCTCCGGGCGGGTCCCCTCCAGCTTCC